TTTTTATTAATTGATATTTCATTAACATCAACTTAACTACCTCAATAACATTCTATGAATATTAATCAATAATGAAATACAAAATGATTAATAAATATTCATAAACAAACATTAGTACTAAGAAAAGGTTCCATCCGCTCAGCATACTAAATACATATAATATGCATACTACATACACACATACATAAATATTGTATTCATTCAATAAATTAATTTCCATTACATTGCGACTGCATACTCTTTGCAATCCACAATTAACTATTAAATTGGCCATCAATTACGATTTGCTTCAGTGTACTCGACGTACATCAACAATCCTTCAAAGCAAAACAAAACAAAGGACATACCTATACTCCACCAAATGTAACTCTTGCTATTGCCTTTTCGCCTTGCATTGTTGTTTAATTTACGGTGTTTTTTTTTATTACTCGTACAGAAATAAAGCTGCTACATTACTGCTTAATACACCCACAAAAATCAGTTACCAACCCCCCATTTCAATGAATTACACGTAATCACTACGTTCACATAAACCAAAATCAAATAAATACCTCAACTTAAGCTCAGACAAATTTAGTACTCTTACCAACTCCCGTTACTCCTACCACCATCAACAATAATCGTCGTCATCAACGTCTCTATGCTCGCTTACATCAACAAATGTTTTTTATTACCTTTACGCATTAGAGAGCTTTTAACAGCTGTTCGGAAAGCTTTTGACCTTGTTTATTAATGGTCGTATTGGAATTGCGAGAGGAACACAATGTGTGGTGTTTACCTAAAAATATGATTTTTTAGTAAACATATTTTGTGGTGTGGGGTAGCAATTGGTACGCATGTGCGGAATATTTATCAGCTGTTTTTTATGATTAACAATATTGTTTCAATAACATTTAATAAGTGTTATAAAGTGGAAGCTCTGGTCACTGTATTGGATGCGTAAACGAACTTCCGGTTTTTAACAACTTCCGCTCATAAACGTATTTGTAACTATTGCATTAAGGTGGCAACACTGCACATAGTAAAACCTATTTTTAAAAATAATTGATATCTTTAGAAACATCGAGTTATATTCTAAATAAACATCATTTGCAGGAAGTTTTTTTTTGTTATTATGTATTAAAATATATACTGCAGGATAAGATTTAAAAACTAGATTTTTTTTATAAAAGATACAAATCCAACTGGTCAACAGTAAAAATTTTAAGACATCAAAATTGAATAACTATTGAAGGAAAGCGCACACTTAACGCAATAACAATTTACAAAAGCATTAATTGTTGACGGGACTTTTATTTCCAAATACTATCATGAACTGTATACTAAATGAGACATTTGGTACTATATCAATTGAAAGACAGAAATGTTAAACATTGAAAATCGAATAGTAAACTCGAGTTCATTAGTTGAAAAGCAAAAAAGAAGAGAACTTTTACAATACTTAGTTACTGATGACGAAAAATAAATTTATTACGATAATACTAACCTAGATGCAGTGCACACGTGAGTTAAACTTTGTATTAGAAAGTATTGAAATTTGTATTACAATGCAATTTATCTTAAAGTATAGTATTTTAACTATATGAACCGCACTTTTCAAACGAACTTTTTGGGCGCTTTTTACACATGACAATCGCAGCAAATTTAATCTTTAGCATTGCGAACTTTTCGATTTTTTTGAATTATTTGAAGATATGCAGATTAGTTTAAAGAACGTAATGTTCTTTCACATAATATTTTTAAACTCATATAAAGTCGTTAAAAATTTTCCAATATTAATAAGAATATTGGAAAATTATGCATATTTGCATAATTTAATTAAAGAGGATAAAAATTTTCAATAAAAAGCTCATATCATATGTGTGTCATCATAAATATAATATCAAAATCATATGTAAAAAAGAATATATAATGACTTATCTATTCAGGATTATTTCAAAAAAGATAATATTTCACTTTATTACAGACATTAACTTTAAATGCGGCAGCTTTTTGAACTTTGCGTTACTTTAAAAGCATAAAATACTCATACATATTCAGTTAAAATAAGCAACGAGTCTAACATATACAATATTAATTCTTAATGCTTTCTAGAATTTTTTTTATCAAGTAGCAAAATTTATTGAATTATTCACTTGAAGCATATTTATATCATAACAGACTTCAATGAAGTACTACTCGTAGCACATACTTCCCTTAATGTACAAACAATCTCTGTAAAATACAGTAAAGCAAAATATTAACTGAAGGCATATATTTTTGGCAAATAAAACACATGTTTCCCATGACAAATGCAGTTACCGAAAAGGAAAAAGTATATATAAAGGACAATATGAAAATGATATTAGTCCCAAATAAATGAACAGAAATAGCACCGAAAAATTGTTTGGTAACATTAAAATCAAGCACAACACAATCATACATCGCACTCAAAATGTGAATGGGCTGGTCGGCTGGTCCCCATTTTGTGATAGTTTATGGTAAACCGCAATGCGAAAAATGTCACCTCATGGCAAAAGGCAACATACCAACAACAATAATGTTAACTGCGTTCGGTTTGTTTCACAAAAAAATGAAAACAACAACAAAACAATATTAGTGGCAACAGAGGCAAAGGCAGATGCAGAAAAGAGGCTCAGTTCAAGTGGAAGAAAAAATATGATGAAGGGCAAAATGACGCCAATGGGCGCCACAACTATCATCAACGATTAGAACGGAAACAATTTTAAAGACAATTGCTTTGGCAATCAACAACAGCAAATACACAACGCAACAATATTTCTGACTTTTCAGATATTCTTTTATTTTTTGCCTATTGCTTTCCTAATATTTTTTTGCTTTTTGTGTTTTTTGTGACATTTTTCTCTGCTTCCTACTTATGATATGCCGCAATCGAGTGGCAATGAAACGGAAGCTTACGCCCATTTTGACACTTTATGCACAACGAAAGAGTGGAAGCCGTATTTTACATTTGTATGTAGTTGCATTGGCATTTATTGAGGACAGAGGCATACATGTGTTGTCCGATGTGACAATCATTGAAGCGAATACATTTCCGGCAATAAGAATTTTTTAAAAAAAAAGAAAAATTCTAACAAAAAAAAGATTTCTGTTGTTCGAAACCGCAACTTCAGTTGAACTGTAAAGTTGATGGAATTTCTGAAATGCTCATAAATCAAAAAATTTTGATCGTTATCAATATTCGTAAAAAGATATTCTTTATTTACATTGAACTCTTTATACATTAAAAACTAAAACTAATTTTATTTGCACATAAGCTAAAGTCAAATTGTATTTATGGTCCACGTAATGGTGGTTCCGTAAAGTCCTCATTTTTCGAGTCACATCTATTGGCATCCTTTTCAGTTGGCACAACTTCTTCTGATAATTTAATAAGCTTGTCCAAAGGACATTTGAATTCACAACCAGGAATGGTCAGTTTCTGTGCCGGAGCTTTTGGATTATTGCGGAAATATATCTAAAAAGAAATACAATAAAGATAATTAAACTATATTTTCAATATAAGTGGATTTGTTGATTAATTTGAGAAAATAAGTTTATGTAGGCTTTTTATTTGTGCTGCAATGAAATAAAGATTTATTTCTCTAAGTTTCACTCATTATAAATAATTATACTAGTAATCTATAATTGTAATCTATAATTTAACATAAATAATTTTTGAATACAGCTAACTATAACTTATCTAAAATAATTATTATATCAGTTTATCACGAATTTTACAAAAATAATTTTAAGAATCCTTCAACTATAACTACCTAAGCAATTCAATAAAAATAGTATTTAAACTCCTTCAAATAAAAACTTCTATATACATCTTCTATATACTATAAAAGTGCAATATACCAAAAACCGAGTTTAACAAAAATAATTTTAAAGTTCCTTCAAGCAAAAACTACCTAAATCTTTAAGACACAGAAGATATTTATGTCCAATGTCCAATTTAACAAAATATAAACCTTCTGTCGTTGTCCATTCTATATAAGAAATTATATTCTCTATAAACAACGAATACTACAGAGTAAAAAAGAAAATTTTTCGTTTATGTAACATCTAAAATTCTCTACTCAAGAGTTTTACACAATTGGCTTCCAAAAATAATACGGATTACGCCGATATCATTATTACATAGGCATATAATACATATATAATTATTAAATAGCATATACCATATGCAATAAAATGCATGAAGAAACAAACAAGTCTAAGTTTTCATCATAAATAATTTTCGAACAGTGGCGTTGCTAGGCGTCAGCGATGTCGGCGACCGCCGACGGCCTCGCGCCCGCAGGGGCCTCGCAAAAAGTTACCGACTGTGGATTCTAAGCACTTAATAAATATTTTGAACAATGTGGTTTGATAATGGCATTAACCATATTTGAAGTATTCCCGAATGTTTATATAGTAACCAAATTCACGTTCACAGTTCCAGTCAGTATAGCTTCGACGGAAAGAAGCTACTCAAAGTTAAAAGACGTGATTAAGACGTCTTAAAGTATGAAGATCCAAGAGAGACTATCTCCATATAAACTGACGCAAAAATAACAGCTGGCGCAAATTATGATATAATTTTAAAAAAAATTGAGTGAGGCTAAAAGTAGGAAAATTTATTTATTTTAATTTGATTAGCAATAAAACTTTCAACAATGTAACTTGAAAGTTTACAACTGAGTTATAAAGGGGGCCTCGCAATTCTGTGTCGCCGACGTGCAGAGTTGGTCTAGCTCCACCACTGTTTTCGAATTAATACAATTAATACATATTAGTACATTATTAAAAATATATTATTACATTTCGAATTAAACTTTAAAAATCTACAATTCTTAATTTATATTTTTATTTGATTAAACCAGTTACCAATTAAAAATATGTACTGAGCAAAAATATTTTTAAATTGAATTTCTTCTATAATTTTAAAACACACGGTAGTTCAACTCAAAATTATTATAATGTTTGCCAAGCAAAAATTTAATATCACTCAAATAATAGCAAAGATGGTAATGTCATGGTAACATTGTATTGTATAACAATATCAATTCTTTAATAGCTAGGGAATCTAATATTATCACATATACGTATAAAGAGGTGATTAAGGGCAACATCATTTTCTCGGTTACCTTTCAATCACATAAATCAAGCCAACAATTTTCAACTAATTTTTTGAACCTCGAGAGGTTAGTTAGTTCAAGACAATATTAAATGATAGAACAATAGATCTAATATGTTTCTAGGTTAGTTCAAGACACTATATTAAAGGATAGAACAATAGAAGTAATATGTTTCGATGTACTTTTCGATTTAATAAAAAAAATTATGAATTCCTGAAAATTTGGACTCCTGAACCAAAAGAGTTGTTTAATAAAAGCCTTAATTTTTTTCGGTATAGTTCAAGATACTATATTAAAGAATTGGACAGAAGATCTAGTATGTCTCATTGTACCAAAGTCACATTTAATGAAAAACAAAATTATGCATTCCTGATTAGCTCTGATATGGTTCAAAAAATTGCATAAGGAATGGATACTCTGCATAATCGCAAGTAGAAATTAAATGCGAATGAAATTTGGTAACTGATTTACATACAGAAAAATATTGATGAATTGCAATGTAAATATATTAAAAAATTCGTCACAGCCATTCTTCTCAAAACCCGAGGTATGGAATACCAAGCCATATCGATATATATCGTAGTAAAAAGAATTGCTCATAATGACAAATTTTATAAATATCATTCATTAAAATGTAATGTTTGGATGAGGAAAACCACTTTAAGGATTTTTGTTGTATGAACTCACCTCCACGTAATATTCACCAGTTTCTTTATCCTTATGTAATTCGAATATTGCCATTACAGAATAACGTGGTAATTGCCTTTCCCAAATTTTGAGTCCAGATAATATATTTACAACTGTTGTATCATGGCCAGTGTAGATGAATAACTTACGTTTGTCAGGTTTTAATTTATTATCACGCTTATTCTTCATCTCATCTAACATTTTTTTTAAAAATGGGCCAGCTTTAATTTTTTGCATTTCTGGTGTGTAAACATTATATATATAACTTTGTTCGGCTAAGAATTGCAACTTTTCTGGGAAATACTGTTTGGTCCATTCAGGCAGCTCTAAACCAAATTCTTGCTATGGAAGGTAATAAAAAATTTTATTCAAAACCGAATTGGAAAAAAGTTATTTACTGCATCAACAAACCTCGGCTAATAAAGTCAAGTAAAGCGATTGCACATCTTCAGGTTCACTAAATTTCATGCCAGTCAATTCAGCCAACTCTTTATACATATCTAAATAAGGTTCAATTTCAGCTTTTACTTCTGGCAATTCCAAAACCTCATGAACAGCTTCGAAATAACGTGGACAAGAAGTGCGCACCAACAGCAGCTAAGGGTATATAAAATTTGAAAAAAATTTTTAATGAAGTGTTAAGCTAGTGCACACAAATAGACCACTTACTGTATCTTCATCGAGAGGTTGAGAAAATACTGGTATAGGTTGCCAATTATATTTGGTATTCCATTCCATTGGTGTGTTTTTGGGTGGGAAAAAGCTAGCCAAAACAGTTTGCATTGTCATGTGTGTACGTGTTACGCCTGTCGCTTGAGCGTGGACCATCTGTAAGAGTATAACAAATGTAAAACCGTACAGTTAAGCAGTTATACATGTAAAAGCGAAACAATATGAATGAGTTATGAAGGTAAAAAGAAGTCATTTAAGCAAATGACAGCTTTCAGTGAATCAGCAGTAGCCATTCTCTACCGCTCAGTAGTAGCTACTACAGAGCACCAACAAATTGATTATAATATATGTATACATACATCAGGATGATAGAATGGTCCCAGGAAACTACTATAGCGTTTACGCAACCAACTTCCAATGTTGAACAGTTCACGTTTTCCATTCTGCATACAGTTGCAATAACGTTGACGATGACGATGACCGTGATTTATTGTGGTTCATGTGACATCAAGTGAGGAAAAAATTCCAAAAATCGAAATAAAGAAAAATATGTGAATAAAAATTGTAGAACAAAACTTTATTAAAGTGAAAAAAGTAAAATCAGAAGAAATTGAAAAAAAACTCATAAATGCATACAAAACATTGCACACTTCTGTTACTTTTGCATTTGCACTTGTACTTGTACACGTATAGATATACTAACGCTTACATACATACATATATAAGCAAATATTTGCTTTTCAATTTATTTAAATGTTCAACAGGAAATGCGCTACAAAAACTTCAACGGAACAACTTACGTTCGTTACGTGTCCCCAGCCGTAGGGGTAAAAAGTTTCATTTACATGTGGATCGTTTGGGTATGTGTCCGCCGGTGTACGTGGTCCATGTCGGAAAACCTACAATAGAAACAAACCAAATGAAAACTGTTGTTTAAATATTAATAGAAAAAAAGTTTGCATAGATGAGAAAAATATGAAAATTTTTAAAGTTAATTTCATTAAAATTGTGTTAAATAATGAAATTTTCCAAATATACTAAATTTTGGTATTTCAAAACAAAAAGCTTGAAAAATACAAATAATAATGATAATAATAGTTCATTATTTTCACATCTTATTTTTTGTGGATATATATTAAAATATTTTAATCATATTTTGTAGAGAATATAAGTTCAAACTTTTTAACAAAAGTTATAATATTAATCCTTTCTATTGCCATCTTTTTTTATATAAATTATCAACGTAAACGAACGTTCGATAACAAAAATATTTAAAAATTTAAGAAATACCTATATATTGAAATATAGAAATTTATATTACTTAATAGTCTGTTTAGAAAAAATCCATGTATTACTTTGAAGTAGTTGTTAGTTCACTTTATTAATTCTTTAATAATAATAAAAATTCTGAAGTGAAAAAATAAAATAAAAGTTTAAAAATTAGTTGCTGATAACCTAGTTTTCAACATGGCAATACACGTATAAAAACACTTAGATAATGAAAATATATATTAATTATGGTATGGAGCTTGTCATTCTCAATGACAATTTATATTTAAAATATTATTTAACACGAAACTTCAAGGAATAATATATCGATCAGTAGTGCTCCAATATTGATGATACTAACAACATACACTGAAACGTAGGAAATACATAAGCAATATCAAAAGTTGTCTGAATACTCACAGCCACAAAAAATTTAATTTTCCATATACACCTCAAGTCTGTCTTATTGTACAAATCCTTTTCCTAAAGAGTAATGGTATCTATAAAATACGGATACCGTATTAACATATGTTTTCGGTATGTCCTTTATATGAGGTTAAAACTGACAAAAAGTATAGTTTTCTATGTATGCCTTTAGTGTATATTATTGTATGGATCTTTTTCTTAAAGTGTGATAGTGAATATAAATTACGGATATGCCTTATTAGATGTGAATTTACCGAATTCTTAAAATTGAGTTGAAAGGATAATACGTTTTAAAACGTCAAAACTAATAAGAGTGTTACTGTTAAACATTGAATGTACAATTAATATATATGACTTAAATAAGAGGCATTTTAAGTAATTTAAGTGTCTGCTATAGTAACATTTTTGTTTAAGTAATATTCCAATATGAATAATTAATATATAATTGCAAATTGTAATATTATTTAAGGTTTCAATCGTTCAGTTTATTATTACTTGTTTTAAATAAATATTTTTGTCTTTTTTAAAATATAAGACTAGATCAAGTTATCTTACTATGGCAGTTACTCAAAGTAACCAACTCACTTAGATTATACAGCTTCATTGTGATATCGTAACTTAATACGGAACTGTAACAGTTTTTAATTTATGGAACTATTTCCAAGTCCTAATAAAGTATAAGATTTTTTTATAACAACGCTGGATACTCCTGTGGAAGAGCTAAAGACATAATACGACTTAGCAGAATAATTTTTCATACAATATAACATATTTATTGTAAATATAAAAACTATTTAGTATATTCCTTTTTACATGTTAATTTTCATTATAAAATGTCGTCTAAAAGTATGCAATAAACTTTGTGTGTTGCAAAGATATTCACCACATCAAAGTGTGGTGTGTGTGTACTTCTAATAATTATACGGCAATATTAAAAAAAAATAGTTATTTTTCTTTTATTTTTTGATTCTAGCTTTCTTTTTAAATCACATTTAAAAGAAATTAATGACACTTATAACAAAAATAATGCCTATATTCGGAAGCCTTTTGCTCGGTACATAAAATGATCTGCATACTTGACCTACAGTAATAATTATTCGAAATTTAATTGAAAGTTTTGGGTGAAATGGAAATATGTATTTATAATGTCAAAAATTCAACTTGTAAAAATTTTAACGTACTACTGAAGATATCATGACTGTAATTCCAGGTCTGAATGGAAATCGAAAACAATCAATTGTACATGGTTCTCGAGAGCTTGAATTCACTTACTAAAGTTCTGAAGGAATAAGTTTTTGAGGGATACGAACTAGAACCGTTCAACATTGATTAAGCTATTTAACTTCTGTTAATGTATTTTCAATATCTTAGTTAAAGCCAGACTTATTGCACATGATTAGTTGAACTATAAACCTAAAATGGATATAAAATGGATATTGGAAAAATTACATTTTGTAAAATAAAGTTGTACAAAACGGCCTTTATGAAATCTACTATCTTAACAAGAGAATAATTAATTAGAAAGTTATTTACATTTCGATCCACTTATATGATCTCACTATTTGGCTTACAGAAATTGAAGACAATAAATCTTAAATAAATCTTTTTATTAGTGTCATTAAAAAGCAGCTCGTGTGATAAAATGTTTTAGATAAATCATAGAAAATATAAAATTATTTTTAAATTAACCTAAAGTAACCATCTGAACTCACATGAATTTTAAAATATGTAAAATATATATAAATGTAGTTTTTATTCTATTTTTAACTAAGTTAAAGCTTTTATCATTTATTCGAAATATAGTTAAAAACATCTACAGTATTTGAGTGATTCGCCAAAATGTAAACTGCAGCTTCATTAAGAGACAGCTTTAAATAAAAATATATTAAGCATATAAAAATATATTAAGTTTGATGTATTAATTTATCATATTTTTTTCAGATTAATATATTCGTAAATATTGTTTTAAAAAAAAATGCAAAATAATATATGCACATATTATTTTAAGCCTTTTGTCATAATATTAATTTAAATAAAATATTAATTTGTATATATGACATACAATATTAATTTATTTTCTGCGTCATTTAGCACATATATTTCTCATTAAATTTTTTGTGTTAATTAAAAAATTACTTTCAAATGTGGGTAAAAAAAATAAAAGTCTAAAGAGTAAAAAATTTAAAATTATTTTATTTAGTCATTCAAAATTATTCATTTAGTAAATTTAGTAAGTGAATGAATTTTAATAAAATTTCTTCTTAAAATGAATTTATTATATTTTTTTTACAAATTTCTACGATTTACATTTCAAGTCATAATTATTTTTTAAATGTAGAATAGAGTCTCTTAAGATTTGCACTTAATTCATATTTACTTGTATATATAATAAATCAATAATAAATTAAGAGCAACACAACAGTCAAATATTTAATTGAACTAAAAATTAATATTATCAATAATTAGCAGTTTAAATCTTTTTTATTTGCTATTTCGGCATACAGTTATTCTTATCAGTTTACAAACATAAAGTGATAGAAATACTTTTACATTCTATAAGTATTAAAATTCATTTATATGTATATATTTTCAATACATATAACTTTTAGTTATCAAAATTCTGATTAAATTACTTCATTATTAAAATAAATTCTTTTTGAATTCAAAATAATGTATGATATATAAATATAATACATTATAATTTATTTGTATGAGATATAATAACTATAAAAAGTATAAATAATTGTTAAATGTTTATTCTAAGTAATTCTTCTAAATTCAAAATAAACTAAATTAGGTTTTAAATTTGACTAAAACTCTTTGATATGAGTTTTACATAAAGCTTCACGCTCTTCGCTGTGCATTGTTCTAATATTTCACTTTCTAAGAATTCTAATGAGAATTGTCGGGACTTTTGAGAAGTCCGGGCCTATCGCAAATCTTTGGTTTGTGGTTTGTCAAAGGAATTAAAAAATTAACACCATCACTAAAAATTCTTATAAAATTGTTATAATTTTTGTAGTAAACGGTTGCTAAACGAACCATATTGTAAAATGACAAACCTTAAGTTAAGCACATAATGCCACCGAATCAGTACGACCAAATCAGGATCACGAAATTGATAACTCTTTATATCTCATCAGTTTACTTTTTGTTGATTTTAAAGATGTTTTCAGTTTATGATAAAACAAACTCTAGGCTAATACTAAAATTCACAACTTGATTTCTTAATAGAACAGCGGATAAGAGTCAAGAAATTTTAAAATTTTATTCTTAATGAACCAAATTTTTAGTGCTTTACTTGCTAAACCATTAAACCAACGTTGCATACAATCTTTGTTGATCAAGAGTGAAGATTGATTAATTATTATTTTTCTACTTTCTATTCGTTTTACTATTTTCGGAACAAAGTCACTTAATGCAGCCATATAAATGCATTTAACGCCATATGTTGTAGATAATATTTTAAAAAAATAATAATCTGAAGAATTATTTTCTATTGAATATATTTTTAAAAATGCATTTTTCATGATAAGCCAACCTACCAGGTCCGAACATGTTTATAATCTTCGTTTACTATCCAATATTATGCACTCGACAAATATGCAAAATCTCATTATATGTCATATCTCATAGTGATATGAGTCATCTGCATTTGTGAAAAATACATTGAAACTATATGAAAAAAATAGTTTCTTTCTTATCTCGATTTTATATTTAATTTCAAACAAACTATTTTTACAATTCATTATGTTGTTTGTCTTTTCATTGATAAACAATCGAAACAAAGAATTAAAAATTTTTTAAATATATTGTGTTATCAACTTAAATGTAGGGTATTCTATAGTGTTTGAATTGCTAATTATTTTTTAATGAAATGTCAATAACGAAGTCGACTCTCACGTGTCTGTTGGCTGGTTTTCAAGTGCGTACTGACACGTTCTTGTCTCACGCTTTGAACTATCAGAAAATATATTTAAAGTCAAAGCCATTGACTCACGCGACTCGTTAAAAATGCATATCAGCAAATAAAAATTATGAGCGCCTCTATTAAATAAAAAACTTTATTAAAATAAATAACTAAACTATAAAAATTTTCAACTAAAAACACAAGAAATTTTAAATCTGATTTATTTAATGTGGTGTTTGCATTCATAAGTAATCAAAAAATTCAGTTTTAAACGGTTTAATATTATTTTTTTTAATATTATTGCTTTTATATTAATTTATAATAAGAAAATTCATTTTTGACAGATTAGGTAATTATAATATGAATTACAATTTAAAATTATTGTTGTCTTATGACAAGAATTATATTTCAAATGAAAATGGTGTAAGAATTCTTAGTTTTGTTAATTTTTAATCAAACGAATTATTTAGCTAACTATACAGCAACTATAGATTACTACCAAATATCAATCGCTGATGGTGTTTTGGAAACAGCTATTAGTTAAATTACCTTCATATAATATTTGGACTGCAAGTGTCAGAAATGGAATCCTGTCGAATATGAACAGTGGACCTGTGTGTATCTTTCTAACTTTTTAAGTTGAACGTAACAACCTATATTCGTATTTCAGTGGCCTCTGCATATTCGCCTTTTCCAGTCTCATATACCAAGTGATCTTAGGCTTTCACTTCATATAGACAATGCGGATAAAAATTCTTCATCCACATTTACTACTAAGCCCATAGAAGTACCTAAAGTTAATCGTAATTTCTGACCTGATCTTCAGGCTGACAACATTGTTTTCAGGTATGATGGATAAAAAACAAATAAAGGCTATTTCAATTCGTAAATCTTTAACTTTATCAGTCATGAGAAAATTCACCATCCACATTGTCTACTTAGCCCATAGTAGTACCTAATGGTAATAGTAATTCTTTGCCTGATCTTAAAGCTGACATTATTTTGTTTAGTTATGTTTAATAAACAATAAATGAAATCGTTAACAACTTCGAAAATGTGGTCGTCAGAAACTAGAGAAGTATCAAAACAACTAATTTTTCATGAAATTAATGTGAGTTGAAAATAAATACTTAAAAATTTGTGTAACATTGGTAATATTTATAATATTAATAATATAAAAATAATATAATAACATAATTGCAGAAAGGTTTTCAATGAAACTGTTTTAATCAAATCTTTATATTATTTTGATTAAAACGGTATCATACTATTAACCGACAAGAGCGTAAATCATTATTAAGTACCTAAATGATAATATAATTGCTAATTAAAGTGATCTAAGTTGACATTAACGATCTTTAAATTTACTATTTTAACCACATTTTATTGCTCGTTCGGGTTTTTAATAATGAGAATATACAGAAAAGTGCTATAAGTGTTAATTTCTTTCATTACTGTTTTCTGTTTGAGACTATTTCTTATATTCTGCTTAATTAAAATTTCTAATTTATTACAATAATTTAACGATTTTATACCTACAAGTACATGCTAATTTGAATTTCAATCTACCCCCAAAACACTGAATCCAGTGTATAGTTCTCTTTAAATTAATGAGAGAGAATTATATTTTTGCATGATCAATATTATACTAAACTATTGTGTATTAAAAAAAAATTTATATAAATACGTTAATTTCAAAAATATTTTATCTAACACAAAACTTAACATACACTTTTTCAGATTTGTAATTAATTTAAAATTAATACATTATATGCCTTATTGCAGTTAGTATAATGAAGAAAACAGATATGCATTGCTTATAAAATTGATTAACTTACAGCTGCGGGCTAATTAATATGAATATAACAAGTTTATAAATATAAATCAAATAATTCATTAAACTTAAATTCCAATTAAAAGAAAAATTTCTAACAATCTGTAGAATGCAAATATTTCATGAAATAATAATTGAGTAAACAATACCAGTTAGAAATTAATATTTTGTAAATAATATGCAAAATAAAATTTCTAAATGTCAAATAGTGATTTTGTTAGTTATCAAGGTTAATGTTAGATAACAAAATCTACCATAATTTTAATATAAAATATTTTAATTTATATTGCAAGAGGCTAAACATAAATACAATAATATATAACTAGACATAATTTTAAAATTTATTTAATTTATGCTTTAATTGAACATAAATTAATATCTACAAGTACAAATATTATATATATTGAAATATTTTAAATCATATTTGTGTTTGAAATACTACTAATGACAATATACCTAAATAAATCTTAAATACTTAGACATGTATTTGGAAATAAGAGCACATTTAGAATTAAAGTCAAAATTAGTTTTAATATGAAATAAATATAAATTAAGATAAAATAAATATTTTATGTCTCACATATATCAAACAGATAAGAATAAATTCTAAAAAACTTTGATTAAAGTTTATTGTATCAAAAAGTGTAATATACATATATGCACAAGGCAATAACATATAACAATCTCAATTTGTAAGCCAACAATTTTTCAAAACATTTAATAGCATTTAAAAAATATTGTATATAGGAAACGCATAAATTAGAAACTGGTAACAAAAATTTTAATTAATATTGATAATGAATTATATGAATAATTTTTTTTTGCTTTTGCGTTTTATTTTATACCAATGCTTTACATACTGATTTTTTTATTTTTACATACTTTACAAGTGGAGGTACACTACAGCCGGTATAAATGTTCCAAAACAGTAGAATTACAAAAGAAAAAAATCTTAATTTTGCCAGAACTTATTTTTCATATATATCAAAATTTAAATCAGTTAAAAATATATTAAATAAAAAATCCTAATCAAACAATATTAGTAAGGATAGAATCGTGATTAGTCCATAATATTAAAATTAACAAATATCTGATATGCTACCATTAACATTTTCAAATTTCTTTACATAAAGTGGAAAAGTGACAGATTTATTTAATAATATTTAATATATTCCATTTTTAAATTTATAATTTGGTTTTTGTTTTTCTAAACTTTATTATACACCTAAACACATCAGAACCAAACTATAGGATATGCTTAACCATGCGCTCTATATAAAATTTCAATACAACCTTGCATTTTAGATCAGTAAACTAACTTAAGATTGCTTGAATTATTTGAATCTCAATTAAGTTAACTGGTCTAATGAAACCAGTGTAAACATACTATAACTGTAATAAGCATAGTAATGTAGTTCAACTACAACCAAAATTCTATAGTGTTTATTACAGTCTACATTATAATAAAGATTTTATTACTTTAGAATTTTTACAAACATGGTAAAAACTCAAGTGTTTTAAAAAATAATATATTTCACTAATTCTTTCTTATTTGAATAGTAAATAGAAACCAGGCTATTATATTATTCTATATATATATGTATATATATTTATATAAACATTTTATTAATTAAAATTAATAAGTCAGGTGTAGAAAATTACTTGATTACAAATTGACAACACTTAGCTTTTTAGGCCTTTGGCAATTCAAAGTAGCAAGTAAAATACGAAGTACAAGTAGGGTTGGTGTGGCGGCCTTGTGCACCAAATTTTAACTGAGGTGAAATAAATGAATTAATTTAAAAAATTTTTAGATATTGATTTCAGTAAACAATATTTTCAAGCCTTTTCAACAATTTGTTTTTAACTATACCGCTTTCATATAGCCGACTTAAATGACTGATTTTTGTAAGTTGTTAATCAATACTTCCTTAAAAGAGAGGAAATATTATAGAAAATATAAACTTAAAAAAAATTGAATGTCGATATTATTTTTATTTTTCATTATCAATTATATTACGTCAAATATTATTACGTCAAATTGCATTACATCATTAATAGTTCATATGCAATCATATTTGGAAATTATCTTAAAACTGTGTAGAAATGTGAACTATTACAACAAAAAGTCAACAAATTCACATATAGAAGCAAAAATTGCTTTCAAAAAAATATTCCTTTAAATTATCTTAAATGTTTAATTCAAATCAAATAATATTTTTTAAACACTTTTCACCATGATCAATATATTATAAATTTTAAATGTTATTATATTTAGTTTGAATATGAAAACACTTATTTCCACTCACCACATGCAAAAGTTCTAAAGATTCCTGATCAGTACCAGTATCTTCAGTTTCCTTGGAGAACACAGTTACTCCTAAGAAACAATAACACAAAAGAAGTACTGTAAACTTTTTTACAAGCAAATAATCCGTCATGGTCAAGCAAAGGTTTCAGGTACAATATAAGCGCGATATTCAGCAATTTCTTTTTAAATAAAACTTTTGTAATTTAACAAAAACTAGTTTTTGATAAATTTGTTTTTTATTAAAATTTTCTACATAGTTTCTATTATTGTAATTTTAATAAATTAATCATATTTTAGCAATATTTATTTACTAATAGATATTTCAAAATGCACTCCACCATAATATTTTAGAGATTTAATAACACCTAACACCCCAAACAAATGAATAAACAAATAATTGTGTAAATAATTTTGATTTAATTAAGACTTCGAGCTGCAATTGTAAACTGATAAATCGTTTCTATTAAAGCATTTATTAATTTTTTGTAATTATTTAATTTGAAATCAAATCTCTTAAAACATGCACTGCACGTGTTTGGAACTTGTTGATTGTTCGTTTGTTTCTCTTACAATTTGCACTTACCACATGTAATAATTCTAAAGTACTCTGATCAGTGCCCGGATCAGTCACTTTCCCAGAGAAAACTGTTGAGCCAAAGAAGCACAGCGTCAGCACAGAAACAACTAGTAATCCGCCCGTCATTGCTAGACAATGTTTGCGAGTATTATGTGAGCGCGGCATTTTAAAAATTGTATTTTATATCGCCAATATTCCAACAAGTTATTTCAAAACAAAAAAAAAGTATTTTTCTAATTTTTATGATTTTTATATTTTGTTTTGTTTTAATGTTTTAAAATATCATTCGTTTGTTTTAATATAAAATTTAAATTCATTGCCCAAATCCAAATCCAAATTTAATTTATGTTATATTTCTTTATTCACATATTAAACGTAGCGTTAATTACCGAGGCAATCTCGTTTACAACCGGTTTAATTTCATTAGGTCGACTTAGCTATAACCGTAGCATTGTTCTAAAATATATTGAAAAGTGTAGTGAAATTTAAAATAGTTACTTTCTCTGATATACATTACATCTTTATAAATAATTTGAAAATGTATTTCTAATTTGTTTAAAAATTATTTCAAAATTACATGATATATAATATAATACACATAATTTTTATTATATAATATAATGTATTATATTTAACACAATAGACCTTTTCTTTTGTAAGCATATCACAAAAAAATAAGCGCTTATTTTATATATAACATATAAAACAACAACACTGCTGGTTTATTTAGACTAAAAAATCGCATGGTTGCCAAGATCAAAACTTTATCTATTGTGAACGGTTTTTGAAAGTACGTACAAAATTTCGAGTTAACTGTTAACACGTGTTTTTCCTAACTATTCGTATTTCGTGTAGTTATTATTTTCGTATAGAAAACTTAATATTAACTTATTTATTAGTCCTAAATTTAATGAACAATTTTTTTACATGTTTTGCAAATATGTATATTAGTGAATTTTCATATATAAACCTAACAGATATCAAAAGAAAAATGTCCGTTTTTTCTAGAGTTGCCATGTTGTTCTTTTGTGAAAGCAAAGGTTTAATTTTATGTACATATTAATATTATATATATTATATATAATGTGGATATTAAAAGAAAGAAACAATTGAGTCGGCTTCAAGTGGAGAGTTCTGCATACCTACATAATGTCTAAACACCACGTTTAATACCACATTTGGCAAGCCCACAAGGTGTGTCGATTACCGGTTTGTATTGTATTTCTGATAGTCATTGATGCAATAGCAAAAAGTCAATTAGAAATAAACCTTATTGTAAAACCTTGAACACTTAGATGCGAGCTTTTACATAAAATAACTGATATTCAAAAAAAATCACGGAAATCATAAATCTAAACCAAAGCTAAACTAAACCAAAAATGTGTTAGATTAGAGGTAAGAGGAAGGAAATGCTCATACTGCTTTAAATATATATTGTTTAAACTGTATATTACAATTGTTGAAAACTAAACGAACTACATAGAAAGTTCTATAAAGATAGACATGGATTCTGTTATAGCAAGAATTAAGTTAGCGACATTAACGTTTACGATCTAAGTAAAGTTTTTCGTTCTAGTATTTGCGACACATCCGTATCATTTGAACTTGAATCTTATATGCGAACTTGAACTCATAAATGAGACATGACAAAATGAATTATAAATTGTGGTGAATGCATTAATTATTTTTATAGAGTTCTTGAAATATTTTGACCGAACATGATATCATATCGTGAGTTTCAAACTCGAAAAAATATACGTGATATACATAATAGAAAATTTGTCTGGACACGACAAAATAAATACAAAAATTTTGGGTCATTTGATCTGTATAACGATAAGGCGGACATTCTAAAATATCCATGCACTGAGTAATCTACCAAATAAAGGACTGAGTTATGACTACAGAATATTGGTGCAGAATTATTAATGCTGAACGAGAATTTATTACTATTTGCAATGTCAGACAGAATAGGCGACAGAAGACTAAAATCAAATCATGTTATTGACAATATATGCCCAATATAGAAGCATATGATTCTCAAAATTATTTTGTTGTTGTTTAATATTAACATACTTAGAAATAAAAAAAAGATTTAGTCATTGAAATTTATTAAATTATAATATAGTATTAAATTCGATTTAAACATCAATCTGACCATAGTAATTATTTTACTTAATAGAAATTGATGTATTTAATGAGATATTCGAATACTGTATGGTCATCTAAAAATTCAATTAATTAATGTAATATAAAAAAGAAGTTCTGGTTGTTGTATTTCACTACTTTTTGAAACCTCTCTAATAAAATGTAATATATATAAACAACCCTTTTGGTTGAAAAATTTTTCAAGAACTATTTTTTTAGTTTTTATTATTAACTTGATCTAAAAGTCAATCCTTGATACAAGTTTGATCTTTTGGTCAAATGCTTGTCTTGAAAAGACAAAAGTTCTAGCAATTCTCCGGTTAAGAGAGTTTTAAATAGCCAAGGTATTTACAATCTAGAGAGCAACGATAGCAGAGAACATAGTAAAGTTGCAAACATACGTATGTAGCATAAAAATTTTTTGTTGTTACCCTACTGACAATCACCACTGCTGAACATAAACTTCTTTTGGAAATTTTCAAGAACTATTTTTCTTTAATATTTTGGATCAAGTTAATTCCTTTTAATCACATGTTTGTCTTAAAAGATCAAAACTTGGATTTAAAATATTATCCGTTTAACAAAGTTTTCAATAGCAGTGTTCACAATCTATTTAATAAATGTTACCGCTTTTCGCTGTTATTACATATTAGCCGTCATTTTTTCTTTCAGAGTTGTAAAAAAACAACATTAAGTCTGGTTGAATCATTTTTAAAATATGTTAAATGCTTTTTTTGGCATATATTTTTAATTGTGTTGTGTATAATATGAAATTTAGAAATTGTAAATATTAAAAATTAATTAATTTAAATAAAAAAGAACTAAATATTTATGTATTTGAAATTATTAGTAAATGAAATACTCCTATCATTTTGACGGATGACTGAAATTTTGCAATATGTCCAATATTTCTAGTGTATATTCACAATAGACTGATTTTTGAATTTGGCTGCACTGAAACTTAAGACTTAAAGTTTTTACGAGTAAAAACTAACTCTGAAGTTTTTAAGAGCATTGTTATTGCTTCACATGTTTTCTTTAGTAAGTTATGAGTACTTTTTTGCTACTCTGAAAAAAAAAAATTTACGGCTATTGTATGTTACTCACTTACTGAGCTCATCACTCAAATTCATGAATTCAATAAATATATTACACATTTGTTCAATATTTTAGTAAGCTGTAATATTATATATCAAAAAATACGGTTCACAAACAGACATTCTTTTTTCACCTAATAAATTTTTAAAAAACATAATTGGTGTTTTTTCATATAAAAATTTCGCCTTTTACTTCCCATGTTTTTTTGTAATTTATTTGTTTTTCTATTGTTTATGTTCTTTACCTTCATTTTTACACAAAGCAACAGCTCAGAACATAATAATTTCTTTAAGATTAATTGACACTTCACTTTACAATCTTTAATGACAATAGTTCTAATAAGCCGGTTGATTATATTAGACCCATTGTTTTTGGTGTCTAATTTTTTTTATTAGAGTCTTAGAACTTAATATATATGGAAGTGTGCAAATTTTGTTGTGTTTATACGTTAAATTATTTTATTAACATTTTTTATTTGTTTTGTTTTAATAACATAGTCGATGTTAAAAAAAAAATATTTGTATACCGAAACAATTACGTCTGCGAACACGACGCCTTACTCTATACACTGTGCCATATATTAGCAATTGGATATCTTTGATTATAAAAAACGAACAACGAATTCTTTATCTGAACGTTGCTATCATTGTTATCATTCAAAATTTTGTCGTTGGTCGTATTAATTGTTTTCCTCCCGCTGCTGTTTTTTTTCTGTACAATATATTTTAATACACAAAATATGTGCGCTATAAACGATGACGTATGTGAAAGAATTTCTTAATGCTTTTTATATTTGCATTGTATATATTTTACAATTGTGTTAATTTATTTATTCTATTTTATTTATATTGTTAAATACTTTATATTTTTATACTATACATGAACTTTATGCCATGCAAAGGTTGACTAAGTACTGCTCAATTTGCTCTTCAAATTTAAATGTTTTTAAAAAAAATATGATCAACAAACTTTTTTTTGCTTTTATAGCTTTTTTATTGTAAGCAGTCGAAAACCTTCATTTATATACAAATTCGACAAAAAAAATTGTTTTGAATATCATTATAAAATATTTTTATATATTTGTAAAAATTTGTAAGGTAAAATATTCGTTTTATTTATTTAAATTTAATTTTTATTTTATCTCTGACAAAAGTTAAAGGTCAATATTAAGATGCATTTCCACCTATGCTTACTTTAAATGAATGTAAATTTTAAATATATAATACTGGACTTTAAAAACCAACATGATTAATTAAAAAAGTTACTGTAAATTAAACAATAAATCACAAAGTCTTTATTTTGACCATATTTTGACATACAATGATTTATATTACACGTACTTTTAATGTCAGGAATTATTGTATTTCTGTCGACAAATGTTGTAATTTCCCTTTAAATTATTTTTTAAATTTTTTTATAATAATTGTTTACAGCTTTTAATATACCCTGAAAAAGGAAGTTTCAAATTTGAACACATTAAATGAATAATTAATTTTATCCAAAATTATTTGCTAATGAGTTTGAGACAAAGTGTTCAGCGGTTAACAGTTTGCTCGAATTCAAAGTGTTGTGAAAACCCTTTTGACGGCACTTGATAAATGAAATAACATACGAGTTACCAGGAAAGTTTGGTTAATGACTGGACAGTTATTTAAAATGAAGGTCAGTAACTGCGCTTCCGTTTTTCATAATTCGCACTTATTTGCTTCTTAATAAATTCCTCGCAAACAGTCCTGATAAATTCGAGTGGATCCACGCTGTTGTGGTAAATGGTGTTAAGTCGGATGAATTGTCAAGAAAACACTCCCTTGCGAACTAATTCTTTCTATTAGATAGAGCAGGACTATCACCATTTATGGGATTACTTGCAAATTATTAAACTAATAGATAAATTTCAATTTTTCAGTTCTATTTTATATCCTAAATCTACTACAATAATATTTTAAAAACTTTTATTTATTTTTAGTTAAATAAGTACTATC